CTTTTTCTTAATAACTAAGTAAACTAATGATTATGTTATTATATTATAGTTTTAGTAATAATCATCTCTGTAGCACAATTTTCAGATTTCGCTGAAGATGGAATAAGTTATTCCGAAACGTTTGAAGCTTGTAAATAAAATGTTTTATGTTTTATTAACCGTTCTAATCTTCATTATTAAACTTCGGTTTTCCCATCATGAATCTATTGCTAAACAATAAATATATAGAGAGAGTTAAGCAAATTACTTCGAGCTGAGTGCTTCTGTCACAACATCTTCAATCAAGCAGTATCATCACACAACCAAAATTCTCTCAAGACATGAAAACTTCACATAGACAGAAAGACAGTACACATAAAAGACTTCTGGCTTCGCCATTGACTACCTCCACTCTTTTTCTTCTTCTTTTTCAGAAATACCCTTATCAAGTAATAATATCCTTCAACCACGAGCGGTATGTCTACAGATTTATAACGCTAGAATCCGGGTTTCGATACCAGTGATGGGCAGAGCACAGATAGCGCTTTATGCTTAACTTCAAACAAACAAACAAATCAAGTATATTTTGCTAACATATTAATTTTTTTCATTTTCATAAGGAAAAGTTTTGTATCAGCTTAATAAGTAGTGATTTTTATTATTACATTTTTGAAAAGTAGTGTTATAATTTTAAACGTATCCCGAATTTGTTATACATATTTATAAACGTTGAAAAAACACAAAAGGTGATTGTATAATATTTTCACTCAAATTATTTTTTAAGTAGGTTGTGTTTCATGAGTTTAGCCTCCTAAAGGGAATGATGTACAACTTAAGCCTAAATAATGATAATTTTGCGAATAGTAAATCTAATGCATGTATTTTGAGTTTGTTTGTGTTTTAACTTAATTCTGGATATGAACATTGAATTATATTAACCTTCACAAACAGTAATTATGGGTGGTTGGAAATTGGAGGTGTTCAAAATGGGTATTTATATGTTGTTTCCTGTTGGTTTGTTTTATTATTTTAATCAGCCACAGCACTTTGAAGACTGGGTGGTTAAGACTCGCAGAGAAATGTATCCGCCAGAAAGTAAAATGCACAGAAAAGAAATTGAAGAATGCATTAAACAATTTCATAAAAAGAAAGATGAAGAACTACGAAAACTTCTAGAACAAGAAAATGCTAAAGAGTAAATTTCTATAAAGGTATATAAAACTGTAAAATTGCACTTTGCTGTCTATATTCCATAACCGATTTTTCGAGCATAGCTTAAGATCGCAATGGCACATTGCTGTTTGATGATTATCACAAAATCAACACTTACTCAGTTTTTTCAAATATTGCCATTACAATTGTTGAAAATATTCATCAAACATGATATCGTGAAAATATTGACCAAAACTAAACTCATAATTTAGGCCTAAATAGTACGGTTGTTTCTGTGGCGGTGGAGAGATTGTTCTTGAACTTCACCTTCTGTTCATGTTAAAGTATTACTAACTAGTTGCTAAACTGTATAATGTTTTTATCCAGTGTCTGTTATAGTTTTATATGTGTATTATTTTGTGATATTCAGCATATGCAAATCTGTAAATTTTAAGCATATTATTATTAATAATGATATTACTATATGAGAAGTAAACAATTCTACTAAAAATTACTTAATTAGATCTGGGACTTACAAGTTACAGATTGTGGTACAGTACATTTTGGCCAGTCAAATCTTAGTTCCATTGGATTTCTATAACCCATCACATGTATCAAAAATCAAGGTAAAATTGTTATTTTATGCCCCAAAATCCAGTATGGAATATAGGCTGCTAAACTGCAATTTTACCTAAAATCTTTATAATTAATAGTTTAAATATAAACACAGTGCATTACTATCATTACCATACATCTAAACTTCCTAAAGACGTATAAGGCTCATTTGGATAACAAATATTTCAAGTTTTGGGTATTGTTTGCTGTGGGGATGCTGTTGTTGCTTTATAAAAGAATTTGGGTTACTTGGTGGGTTGGGTGAATAAGTGGCAGATGGCTTTTAGTTAGAATAAATATAAGATAATGTATGTGAGATATCACAGTTTGAATTATGAATATAACTTTGATGGGAATAATCTTAACAGTGTTATGGAGAAAAAGATCTTGTTGTTCTGGTTCATCAGTGTCTTAAGTCATCCAAGCAACTTGCTGTTGCTAGTGGCATGGTAGATAGAATTTTAATTTGTATCTACAGAAATACTGAATAAAGTGTAAAAGAGGTTATAATTAT